AAGGTAATAGCTCCTGAATTAATGGGGGGAAAACAAGCAGGTTGGATTGGAGATTAAGTAGATAGTTCTGAAGTAAGCTATTATTTTTAATAATGGGGTTTATTATTATTATTACAAACTAGATTGCCTGTCAATGCGTCAAGTTTCCAGTTACTGGAAGAAGTCCCCATGTTTTTCCTTCTTAAAGAATCCTGTTAAGAAATACTGCAATTTAGATACCCCATTGTAAACTGCTAAACTATCATTGGCTATGTGATAAAAAACAAGATTACATTTGTATAGCGCCTTTCACGAAGAGAGAACGTCCCAAGGCGCTGGACAGTGTACAACATTTTAGACCTAAGCTGGGGTCAGGGGGGGAGAAGGGAGGGGAGGGGAAGGGGGGTGGTCGATGGCATGGTCAAAGAGCAGGGTCTTGAGGAAGGACTTGAAGGAGGCTAAGGAAGGGGCGAGGTGGAGTGATTGGGGGATGGAATTCCAGAGGTTGGGGGCAGAGTGGCTGAAGACATAAACACATGTGAGGACATAGCATTTACGTGGAGTGTTAACTCCATGGCATATATATTTTGATATTGGAAATAGAATGATGCACACTGAGACAGACATGAAATGCGTAACAAGGAATGAATAAAACATTCCTGTAAGCAACGAGGGAGAAGGTAAAAGATTTGGATGTGATTATTGATCATTCACTCAATATAAATCTTATCAAAAAGTGCAATGCATCTTGAAAGTATTTAATTACATATTGAAGCAAATGATTCTAACCAATGTACCCATTGATACAGACACATTTGGAATACTGTGATTGAGTAATTTAGCTTTAAAATAAGGTCTTTTGGGAGGGATCAAGGAAAACGAATCGGCCCCAAGATCCGTTACTGTGAAGTGCTCTGAGACACCGTCCGGGGTGGAGGGCGCTATATAAATCCAAGTTGTTGTTGTTTAAGACTAGAGACTTACAGCTGTAAAATCATGGAGACCTATGAACTAATCTCAATGCTATTGGAAGATTGTGGGGTGACATGATTCATGTTCTTCTAATGCTGTAGGGAATGGTTAATGTAGAAATCAATATTGGTTATTTAATTTGGACTGAGAAAAGAACTAGAGGACACCAGTGTAAAAATATGCATTTTGAAGGGATTTAATCAGATTATATTATTGACTCAATTGGTAGCACTTTTACCTTTGAGTCAGAGGTTATGAACTTCACATGATGAGTTTGAGCTCATAGTCTAGGCTAATGTTTCAGTAAAGTACTAGAGGCGCATCAGAGATGCCATCCGTCAGATGAGATATTTAACAGGGCTTCTGTCTGCCTGTTTAGATGGATGTTAAAGATTCCTCATGGTTATATCCTTTGGTGACTATTATCAAGGCATCAATGGAATGAATTATTGTGGAACTGTAACCCACTGTGAAGTACTGTATTTGGGAGAAGAAATAAATAGTAAACCTATCAGCAGTGTTCCAGTGGAAAACCCATAATAGGCACAGAACAAAAACATTAAAGCCTATATTCTATGGATCCTGGTTTGAGGGGAGGAAGCTATTCATTTCTGTTAAATCTTTCTTTAATCCAATTAAATGGCTGCATACAAACACTTGTGATTTATGTGATTCAAAAATATCAAATCCTTAACCATATTTATTATCATTATGGAGTCCTGTAGCTCAGTGGTTAGAGCACTCGCTTTGCAAGTGAGAGACCTGAGTTCAATTCCAGGCAGAGGGCGAAACCTTGGGCAAGTTTCCTTACTCCACACGCCTAATAATAATCCCTCCAAAAAACCCAAAACAATAATAAATTGGTCATTTTCAATCTACGACTGTTTGTGGGACATTGCTGTGCGCAATTGGCTGCCGCGTTCGCCCACAAATATACAGTCAATTCACTTTACAGTATATTCTGTGAAGCGCTTTGGGACGTCCTCCCGACGTGAAAAGCGCTATATCAAATGCAAGGATTATTATTATTATTATTATTATTATAACAATTATTATTATTATTGTTTGAGATTTCTGAATTTTTTAATGAATCTGAGAATTACTATCTCCCCTGCCCATATAATGCACTTATTACAACGTGTCAGTTGGTAACACTCTCACTTCTGAGTCATATATTATAATGTATATATCATCCATATGAAGGTAAATTTGTATTGTAATGTCCCAGCACCTTGGACCGTGTAATTTGTTGTTAATGTTGTGGCAAGTATTATGATTACAACAACCACAGCAACAACAACAAATTACATTTATAGAGCACCTTTCACATCGGGAGGACGTCCCAAAGCGCTGTACAGTCACGTGTCAGGGCCCGAGCATGGGGAATGGGTGGGGTAGGAGCAAGGAAGGTCAGAGAGGTGGGAGGGAAACCAAAGGCACGATCGAAGAGAAGGGTCTTGAGACCGACCTTGAAGGAGGCGAGGGAGGAAGCGAGGCGAAGGGACCATGGGATGGAGTTCCAGAGTGTGGGGGCAGAGAGGCTGAAAGCCCGGCCACCGATGGTATGGCGGGTCGGGCGGGTGACATAGAGCAGCCCGGAGCCCGCTGAATGGAGGGAGCGGGCAGGTTGGTAGGGAGTCAGCAGGTCAGAGAGGTAGGAGGGGATGGCCTTGAAAGTGAGGACGAGGATCTTGAACTCAATCCTCTGGGGTTGGGGAGCCAGTAGAGTCGGGCGACGGTGCGAGTGATGGGGTCGCAGCGCCTGGTGCGCAAGAGTACACAAGAGTTTTGGATGATCTGCAGCTTGTGAAGGGAAGAGTTGGGAAGACCGATGAGGAGGGAGTTTCCGTAATCAAGCCTTGATGTGATTTATATTATAATATAATTATATTACTTATAATAATAATAATAACAATAGTTACAATACAATAGGACAGGTAGGGCAGAGGATATGAAGCAGCCGGGGTTGGAAGTGGCTTGGTTGTAGTGTTTGAGATTGCAGGGTGGGAACAGACCATGGAAGGATTTCAACGTGACAATGAGGATCTTGAACTTTGATACAGCACCTTTAATGTCAGGAGGCACCATTGTTGCAGATTATTTATAATATGATAATATCCCTCACATTTGACATAGCACCTTATCATGTCGTTGAGATGTCTCAAAGTACTCCACAGGGATTATTGTGAAGTGTAGTGATTTTGTATTTGTAGGCAAATTTGCACACTGTGCAAATCTCATAAACAGCAACAAAGTGAATGATCAATTTTATTTGGGTAATTGTTGGTCAGATGAGGAGCTATATCAAACGCAAGGCTTTATAAATAGGGGCATAGAATACAAAAGTCAGGAAGTTATGATGAACCTTTATAAAACACAGGTTAGGCCTCAGTGAGAGACTGTGTTCCGTTCTGGACACCACACTTTAGGAAGGATATCAAGGCATTGGAGAGGGTGCAAAGGAGATTTACCCAATGGTACCAGGATTGAGGGACTTCAGTTATCAGAGGCTAGAGAAGCCGGGATTATTCTCCTTGGAGCAGAGAAGGTTAAGAGGAGACTTAATAGAAGTTTTCAAAATTATGAGGGGATTTGATAGGATGAACAAGGAGAAACTATTTCCACTGGCGGGTGGGTCGGTAACCCGAGGGCACCTATTTAAAATAGTTGTTAAAGGAAACAGAGGGGGAGGGGGTTGAGAAATTTTTTCACACAGCGAGTTGTTTGGTTCTGGAGTACATTGCCTGAAATGGTGGTGGAAGCCGATTTGATAAACAGCTTTTAAGAGAGAAGTAGATAATTATTTGGGGAGGACAAGTTTGCAGCGCTATGGGGAGAGCGCAGGAGAGTGGGATTGATTTGGACAGCTCTTTTTAAACAGCCGGCACAGAGACGATGGGCCAAACGGCCTGTTTCTATGCTGTATAATTCTATGATTGAGGAGAATCCCCCTTTTCTTTTTAAAACGTGTCATGGGATCTTTAATGTACAGACAGACAGACAGATGTTTGGTTTAATGTCTCATCTGAAAGATTCCACCTCCAGCAATGCAGTGCAGCCCCAGCATGGTGATGGAGTCTCAGCCTAGATTTTGAGCTCAAAGTCCTGATGTGGAACTTGAATTCATAATGTTTTGACACAGAAGCAAGATTGTTACCAACTGATACATGACAATGAGTGCATGATACGAAAATATGATAATTCGTTGTTATTTAATCAATTTGTCTTGCGCTAACTTCTGGATCAAATAAACAGTTTATGTTGACCATAATGTTGCAGCCACTATGTTCAAAAGAATGTGGCACAAGCAGCCAATAAAATGAATGACTAATTTATCTTGTGTATTATTGTTTAGGACACATGGAGAAACTCCTTTCTTCTTTCAAATAATGTCACGGAAGCTCTTACATCCACCTAAACAGACAGATGGGACCTTGGATTAATATCTCAGACCAAATAAGCTACCTCTGAGAAAGCAGAACTGGAGACCATATCTGCTAATGGATATTAATACAGGGCTTTTATACCTGTCACACACAATCACTTTCCTGACAACATTCTTGTAAATTGTGGAGAGGATATGATTTGGAAAGAGTTAAACACTAGCAGTTCATTGCTAAGAAATATTTGTGTCTTGACTTGAGGTTAATTCTGGCAGTAAAGTGTCGGTAAAGATCTTCCAAATTTACAAAGCTGCTTCCTTTTGCTTTCAGCCTTTTGTTTTTTAGGGTCTTGACTGTCATTGCATAGCTCAATATTTTCCCAAACAATTTTCAGCTACAAGATTGCCCTAGGCAATGTGTCTGTGTGGACAGTGTAAATAAATCAGAATCCCACCCCCCCCACCCCATGCACACACACACACACTCCACCACCAACTTTTTAACTTTCTGAAACTGAACTAAGATCAAGAGAAACCGAACTCTCAAGACTTCCTGTGAGGAACGCCAATCAGAAGAGCAGGGGAGGGGTTTGAAATGGACACCTTAGGGCTTGTAGGTGTATAAATACTGGGTGCAAGATGCACAGTTTGGCACCTCTTGCTGCAACAGGTAGATTAATTCTCCGCCTCCCCAATCAAGGTAGACTCAGACAGATGATGAGTTCGTTCGATCCACAGACCCAGTCCTCCTCTTGCTGTAGCCCCCAGTTCCCCAACATTGGTCAAGAACCACCAGAGCTGAACATCTTTTGTGAGAGCTTCTTCCATCAGCAGAATTCCCAGAGACCGTCCAGCTATGACCTGGAGGACTACAGCGCGACTGGTAACCCCTACCTTTGGTTAAACGGACCCTCGATGAACACATCACCTTACTTGGCAGGAACCAATTCCAGCCCCTTCATCCCCCAGTCCTATGGGATGCCAAGGCAGTTTCTGCCCAGCGGCTCGGGTTTGGGAGGAGCAGACTTGGGGTGGCTGTCCCTCCCGAATCAGGAAGAGCTGCTGAAGCTAGTCAGGCCCCCCTATTCCTACTCAGCACTCATTGCCATGGCCATCCACGGGGCTCCGGAGAAAAGACTCACGCTCAGCCAAATCTACCAGTATGTGGCAGATAACTTCCCGTTTTACAACAAAAGCAAAGCTGGGTGGCAGAATTCCATCAGACACAACCTCTCTCTGAATGACTGTTTCAAGAAGGTGCCGAGAGATGAAGATGATCCAGGTAAAACTCTCAGCCTTTTCCATTCTGCTCTCTGGGACTCTCTCCTATCAACTTGTGCCTTTCCCTCCTGCTGTCAAAATGTTCTTCGAAACAAAAATGTTCTTCTTTTTGCCTTAGTTTAGCATCCTCTCCACCCCGCCTCTTCCCGTTCCTCTCTGTGATTCATGTCACTTTGCAAAGTGCTTTGAAATGTTTAACTTATGTGAAAAATGCGAAATAAGATGCTGTTGTTAAGTCCAACATTTCTGGCCTGGTTTTCAATTGTTTCTACAAGTTTCCCCTCTCTAAACTACATTTGGAAAAATGCAGTTACCTAACTGTTAACTTCCAAATTTCTTGCAAAACTAGTTTTACTGGTGCACTTCTGGTGTCATTCTTAAATGGAAAGAATACCGGTAAAACAAGACCACAACTTGGTTTGGAAAGAGTGATAAATGTGTCGGGTTGACATGTGTCAATGCTGTTTTAAAGTGAACGATCTTTTGAAGTGAACTGTAAAAGTGATCCAGAGAATACCCATCAATATCAATGTCAACCTGTACAGTTTTCACATCGTGTTGCTGGATCTGAGGCAGGATATGTCTCCTGGTCTTAGCCTTAAGACCCTTGTTTTAAAATCCAAAATTGTGCAGGATTCTGGAAAATTCCTAAATTCAGTTTTAATTCGGAAGTAGCTTCTGATGCAGTTCTTCAAAGAACTGACTTCCAACCAGCTCAGCTTGTAGCACTCTCACCTGAGAATCAAAAGGTGACGGGTGCAAAACCCATGTTGAGACTTTGAGACTTGATTGAAACTCCAATACAAGGCTTGGGAACCGCTTCATTTTTGGAGATGCCACCCCTCAGGTGAGACATTAAACTGAGGTCCTGTCTCCCTGTACACGTTGAAACTGGAAGATTTTCTCCCAGTGTCCTGCCCAGATAAACCTTTTGGCTGATTGTGGGACATTGCTGTGCACTAACTGGCTGCCACAGTCACTACCCTTTACACACACTTTGTGAAGCATTTTGACGCATTATATAAAATGCAATTAATATTTTATTGTCATTCAATTTGAGATTTTTTATATTAAATTTAAAAAGCATGCTCTTAATAATAATAATCATCCTTGCATCTGATATAGCTCCTTATCACATCGTTGAGACATCTCAAAGCGCTTCACACAATATACTGTAAAGTGGATTAACTGTGCAATTTGAAGCTAAAACCTGAGGCAAGTCTTTGGGTTAAAGTGCAAGATGTATGCTAACAAAATGCTACTTAGTACAAATAAACAGTTCTTATCTGACAGCAATTCCCTGTGAAGTGATTTGATGAATATTGATATCAAGAGTCGAATGCAAGGATTAGCAGTAGTATAGTGACTTACTTTAAGATTAAAATGGTAAAAATGTACATAAAATCATATGTAGGCCTGATTTTGACCCCCGGCTTTATTAAGTTAATGTTTCTCCATTCCAGGTAAAGGCAATTACTGGACCCTGGATCCCAACTGTGAAAAGATGTTTGACAACGGAAATTTCCGACGCAAGAGGAAGAGGAAATCGGATCCCAGCCCTAGCGGTGGGACTATTGGATCAGAGAAACCTGACGACAGTACTTCCAATAGTCAGAAGACATCGCAGAGTCCGGGGGTCCTAGACAGCCCCTCCAACGCAACAGACAGCTCTCTGGAAAAGAGATCGCCTCCCCCTGTCTCCGCTCCTTGCCTCAACAACTTCATATCCAGTATGTCTACCTACAACAATGGTGGCCATTCGGCAGGCAGGCAGGGACCAGCGAGTGATACCTCACAGAGAATGGGACAGAATATGATGGGCTTTAGCACGTATTCACCCTCCAGTAATATCCTGGGTCAGACTGCGTCCGAATGGTCTGACCCAGGAGCGTCAAATCGCTACGGCTACTCCTCGGTCCTCAATCAATTTAACAACCATTTCTACAGCAGCATCAATGCAAACAGTCTGCTCTATTCCAGGGATGGGACAGAGGTATGAAGGGAAGATGCACAGAATGAAGGATCAGTTGTAAAATAAAACCTCTTAAAAGGGCCCATTTATCACGTGTAGTTGTATGGGCAACACCTTGCTACATTTCATAAACTTTAAAATTTCAGTATTCTAACTTATAATTGTGACAATAAATAGGAATCTACTGAACTTTAATCCAGATCAGAAAGATCAGGCTCGGAGAGTCTGCTGATGGGAGGGCTGCTGAATCAAGGGTTGGGTTTATTAGATTGGAGCATTTAGAAAGGTATAAAGTGACCTGTTCCTGGGGTATTGGTTCAAGTGGGCTGTCTGACTCATTTAACAACAAGCAGGAGCTCAGTTCATTTTCCTTCTCTGGTCCAGAAAAGCTGAAGTCAGTTGATGCATCCCTACTGCTGTCCTGGTTAAGTTAAGCAAACTCAGGAGAAACTAGGGATCAGGTCTGTATTGGTGTGTTTCACTCTGGGCGCTGGCTTTACAAACTGAGCCATCAGGGAACTACTGTACGTCAAGAAGTATCTGAAAAGAACTCTTTTTAACTTAATTTTGTATACTTTTTTTNAGCTCCTGCCAGTTTTAGTAATGAAGAAGAAACATTGAGACCCATTTACCTTTTGTAAATGGGTCTCAAGGTTCAACACTTCCTTCATATACTTTCTCACAGTTCATTTACTTTTTTTTGGTGGGGTGGGGTGGGGTGGGGAGATCGGAAGAAAATTCTCTTTTCCTCACAGGATTTTTTTTCTAAATGTAGATCATTTTTAACCAGATGCCAGAGGGTTTCAACTCCTTAATATAAATGTAAGGGATAAGCAGCAGTGAACTATTTCTTTTGCCATAATGACTGTAAATACTGTTTGTTTTCACTGCCATGTCCAATATAAACCTAGTTTGGTCGGTGGATGTGCATGCTATAGCAAGCAAACATTGTTATTATCTTACCAGGGGAACAAGAAAATATTTCAATCGCTAAATAGTAACTTGTGTCAATAGCCGGAGTGCGTCATGTTGATTTTGGAATCTCTGCTCCATCATTCCTTGAAGTGGGGTTGATGCACACAATTACCAACAGGCCTAACCACAGAACCAAATTCTATTCCAAGCATTATTCAGGCTTTCCCTTTCGACTCAATGGGGACTCGAACTAAATGGGAGGAGAACAGAAATGGTTCTTGCATTTTCAAGTCTTTCTTGTAGATGTGGCTGGCACACAACACCACAAAATGCATTAAAGTCCAATTGATGTGCATTTTTAATCCCACTTTGCAGCAAGAATTTCATCTGTTTTGGAACCGCCTGAGGGTGGCACCATCAAAAAGCGGTTGATGGATTGGCACAGCGTGATGGAGCTTCACTGCATGATGCCATGACAGGGTTAGAGATGGGCACCACCCTGTGGGCACCAACCCCTTGTTGACCTGAGACTCTCTGCTAAGGGAGGTCTATTCTTTGGAGGGGAGTGTAAAGGGTTTATTGGATGAGTTTGTGCCAAAACAAGCTTCTTTCCCTTGTAGTGGCAAGTGCGAGGACTGTTACTGGCAGAAGTTTGGAAACAGGTTGGTCACAACTTAAAATAACAAAAATAAAATATATTCCTTGGATTGATATAGCACTTTTCATGTCTGTGAGGACCTCACAAAGCACTAAACAGAATATCCTGTAAAGTGTAGTGACTGTGTATTTTGTAGGTAAAGTTCTTGTGTAACGAGGAAAGGCAAAGAGAGGAGAAAAAATAAGCGTATAAAAACACAGACAAAAAAACTCATCCTTGTATTGCCTTGATTCTAGTGAACAATAGAATCAGGCACATTTGTGTAAGGCATTGTGTAATATTACAGAAGATTACACTGATACATTTCAGCTCCATGTTGTTCATTCCAACACAGTTGCATGGGTTTCGAGGGGTGATAGACTGGCATTCTCTTTTTGTTTTTTTTAGGATTTGTAGCTTGTTAATTGTGTCTGAATATTTCAATGACCTCAGTTTTGTCATGAATTTCAATTTTATTCAATAAAACAATGAAGTTTTTATGCAGTTTTCCATTTCTTTCTCGGCAAACCAAGTTATCAAGGTGTGATTGTGTTTCACATTGTAATGCGTACACTTTTCTTACAAGATTTTTTTATGGCCTCTAAAATATTACCTGATACAGGAAAAGGGGAAATAATTTTCAATAAACTATTTTATAAAAAAAATCTTTGTTTTTTTCATTTATTTTGTGCTCTTGGAGGGAGAGATATTCTCACTGAGAAATGCAACACTTTTCTATTTAGACCTCAAGTGACAGGATCCAGCATTCCTAGGTTAGGTACACCATGGATTAACAGACGTCTCAACGGCACGACAGGCAAGAAATATTATTATTACCTACATATAGAAGTGTCACTGTGTCTGGAATTGGGTGTGCAATCTTGCCCTGGAGGGATGCACCCTTCTTACGTAATTCAAGAGAATATTAGGTACTTGCTCGCCTCCACTGGCTCCCCATCCCCCAGAGGATCGAATTCAAGATCCTCATCCTCACCTGCAAGGCCATTCACGGCCTCGCTCCCTCCTATCTCTCCGACCTACTATCCCCCTACTTACCTGCCCGTACCTTCCGTTCCTCTGGCTCCGGTCTGCTCCACATCCCCCGCCCCAACCGCCCTACCATCAGTGGCCGGGCCTTCAGCCTCTCAGCCCCAAGGCTCTGGAACTCTATCCCCCAGTGCCTTCGCCGCTTCCTCCCTTTCCTCCTTCAAGGCCGGCAGCTCGACTCTCTACCCGCTCCTCGCTCCCTCCCTTCCCTCCCCTCACCCTGACCATTTCCCCCCTGCTTGGGTCCCGATCCAACTGTCCAGCGCCTTGGGATAATAATAATAATAATAATCCTTGCATTTGATATAGCGCTTTTCGCGTCGGGAGGACGTCCCAAAGCGCTTCACAGAACACACTGTAAAGTGAATTGACTGTATATTTGTGGGCGAATGCGGCAGCCAATTGCGCACAGCAATGTCCCACAAACAATCGTAGATTGAAAATGATCAATTTATTATTGTTTTTGGTTTTGGAGGGATTATTATTAGGCTGTGTGGAGTAAGGAAACTTGCCCAAGGTTTCACCCTCTGCCTGGAATTGAACTCAGGTCTCTCACTTGCAAAGCGAGTGCTCTAACCGCTGAGCTACAGGACTCCACAATGTCCTCCCGACGTGAAAGGCGCTCTATAAATGCAATCTAGGTTGTTGTTGTTGTACTGGTTAGAAAGAAGCCTGGGAGAATCACAGAGTACGTATTTGGATAACTATTGGAGCTTAACTAACTAAAACCGCATAGCTTGCCTTTGAAAGCATTGTCTTGTTACCTTCCCATTGCTTGGCTAGCAGTTAGGACCACCCTATCTATTAGAGTTTTTGCTTGCAAGGTTAATAAGTTGAGTGGGAGGCATCCCTGCTCTTCCAAGTCCGGCCAATAAGCCAAACTAGCTGCTCTCATCAGTAACGCCCTGGAGTACTGAGGTCCCACCTGGCCTGGATTACTGACCACCGCAAAGGATAGCCTTGATTCTGACATTCTGTTGCCAAGCATGTCACCTTGGAATCAGCTCAGCACCACGACAACCCTGCTTACCTCTCCCCCAAGAAGGATAGCTTAAATCCATAAAACCTTAGGTAAGTGATTTGGCCCATCATGTCTGTGGTGGCAATCTTTTCAGTCCTATTTACCTGCCTTTACCTCTGAAAATTATTTATTTTTATATAACTCTCTCACTCCCTCTTGAAAGCTGATATAGATTCTGCCTTGACCACCATAACTGGCAGACTATTCCACATCCTAACAACTCTTTGTGTAAAAACATTTCTACTAATCTCCTCCTTTGCTTGTTTGCTAATTATTCTAAATTCACCAGATTGGCCCTTTGGCCAATTTGATTCCATCCTTTCAGAATATCCATCGTCCCATCTCAGGACCCAGCTGCTTTTTTAAAAAATGAGTCCTGGCCTCAACCATCTTTCCTGCCAAACATTCCAGTTGCCAAGTAGTTGTTGGGTAAATAAATGCTTCCTGGCATCTGTCATGAACTTGACTTTTGTAACTCTAAACCTCCTGTTCTACTGTTTTGGTGTTTCCAAAAATATTGTTCTGGGTTTACGTTTTCAATTGATTTAAGATGTTATATATCTGTATAAGGGCCCCTCTGAGACATCTCATTTCAAGATAGAAGAGCCCTATCTTGTTGAATCGTTGCTCATAGATTGTACCTCTAACACTGGGGATGATCCTCTACACTGCCTCTAGAGCCTGGGCAGTCCCCTCATATCACAGTGACCAGAATTGTATGCAGTCCTCTAGATAAAGCCTGACAAAAGAACTATATATGGTATGATAGATCTGAACTCAACTGATTTGGCAATATAGCCTGCCCAGCATCCTGTTTGCCTTGTTTATTGCTGCTTTGACATATTAAGTGATGAGTTAACTAACACCCCCAAATCTCTTTCAGCTTCCCCGTTGGCAATTCTATCCCATCCACCTAGTACTTGTGTTTACTATTTTTAATTTATATATGCAGTATTTTGCATTTATGTGCATTGATGGCCTCTGATCACTGACTCACACTCCAGTCAGTTGGATAGAAAGGGAAAAGAACTTGTACAGTATTTATATACAGCAGTCAATTTGTGCACCGCAAGATCCCACAAACAGTCATGAATGATTGATTAATGTGGAGAATTCTTGACGATTCTCCTAGTCTGAGCTCAATTCAACCTAAGATTATTATTATTATTATTATTATTATTATTATTATTATTATTATTATTATTATTATATTATTATATAAGATCCCAGAAGTGAAAGGTCAGTGTCTAAACCACTTCACCCATCAATTGTCATTCAGCCAATATACTTTCCAAGCTGTTCTTTGAGCTGTTCTTTGAGTGTGGCTATGCTTGTTGCAATGGAGAAATGTGTAGTTGTTGGATTCAAAGGAGTTTTCGGATTTTTTCAATCCATTTCTACCTCGATATTGGTTAGAAATACTGCCTTTCCTTATTTTATTGATTAAAAAATTCTATATCAGGAAAATGCAAGTTTCCTGATTCTTGTAGTTCCGTTTTTTTTTCTTTGACTCTTTTCAAATTTTGAATTTGACAATTACTTTTATTTTTGCTCAGCAGGGTCTCTGACACATGCTTAAGTGTATATCTTAACCTGACTGAGAGTTTGACAACTGTAAGCCACCTATACATGTAAATTTTCCTGTGTATGGAGTGAATTACAGACTCGCTCCCTGGAGGGTTGCACCCTGCGTCCTTAATTCCAGAGAGTATTAATAATAATAATCCTTGCATTTGATATAGCGCTTTTCACATCTTCTAGACATCTCAAAGCACTTCACAGAATATGCTGTAAAGTGAAGTGACTGTACACTTGTGGGCGAAATGCAGCAGCCAATTGCGCACAGTGGTTTCCCACAAACAGTCATTGAATGAAAATTACTAATTTATTATTGTTTTTGCTTTTTGGACGGATTATTATTAGGCGTGTGGAGTAAGGAAACTTGCCCACGGTTTCACCCTGCCTGGAATTGAACTCAGGTCTC